CCCCCCCCCCCGCTTCCTCTCCGTCCGACTCGCGATAGCAACACGCGGAATGCGGATCCATGCACGGAGGACAGGTTGACCCCCCTTCTTCCCCCTTCCGCCGGAGTGAGATGCAAGGCGACGTTCGGGGACGCCCAGAGACCCGGGTGGATTTCCGGGATAGCGGACTCTAATCGCGGTAAACGGCGACTCTCCAGCTGGCCGAGAGGGGCGTCGCGTCGGTTCGCACGGAGGCAAATTCGGCATGCAAATGTTTGCACTTACAGGGCGTAATCGTGTCTGCAGTAGAGCCGCATGCCGCGCAGGAAGCACGAGTGCTGGTCGTGCAGGGGCCTCTCGCAGGCGTAACACTTTAGGCACCTGGAGTGCCAGGTACGACCCCCTACGCACAGGACGGTGCGCTCGCGGACGCTCTGCCCGCAGCCGCCGCAGTCCATCTCTATAGCATCGTATCCGTTATCGCCGCCGCTCTTTTTCCCGACGGCGACATTGTTGTTGTTGATGTTGGTGTTATTGTTGTTATTGTTGTTGTTGTTGTTGTTGTTGTTGTTGTTGGTCTTCGGGCACAGCACGTCATCCGCGCATTCGGACTCCGTCTCCATTTCGGTCTGCAAGCAGCGTGGAAGTGTGCATTAACGGGCATGATAACATCGTGCAATAAAGAAATTATCACGCGCGGGGCTGCTTCTCCGCTGGTGCTCGCGCGCTCAAGACACAGGACAGGTTTTCCCGAGCGGTAATTAACGAGATAACGAGAAGTTCGCGGTCCGCCGCGGGTAAATCGCGAAAGGGGAGAAAGTCGGATTCGCGAAAGACGTAAAGATGCGAGCCGATAGATACGAGACGTCGTTTCCCGAGAGAGCCCGGGTATAAGAGACACCCGACCCCGGCTAGGGGGACTCCGAATCTGCCGATTAATGCTCGGCAAAGTGAAATAATGGACGATCCGCCGCTTCGGGGGCCGCCGAATGATAAATGATCCCTCGTGCCTCGACGACGCGTAATCGCGTATACGAGAATTCACGGGATCGCCCGCGCGCGCGCGCGCGCGATGGTCTAATTATCTCCGGATCGCGATGGTCCAATTATCCGCGAGATCGCCGGCGAGATCTCGAAGCCGGGGATGCCGAAACTGACGACTATCGGCGGAGTTTTTCATTCGTTGCACATTCGATCTTGTCGGCGCGATACGCGAGACGCGCTACCGCAGCTAATCATGGTTTGCTAAAAATATTTTGCTTTCCATAACTGTACATTTCTAAAGCACAGCGAACGGTTTACTGTCACGCCTAAAGCCTGGTGTCCACGATCCAAGGACTGCGCGGGGTAAAATTCGTAAAAGATTAGAGTTCCGAACAATCCAAATAATTCGGTTACTAATTGTGGGCACCAAAGTGGGTTGCTAACTGTCTTTGTTTTCCCAGAGTACAATAGGCACAGTAGCAAAATATTTAGCTGCCACAACTAAATATTTTACAACTGAAACTTAGTTGCCACATGCGGTCTTCAGCTACGGCAGTCACATTTTTCTTTCCGCGTGCGAGACGCGTTTCTCTCGGGCCGGATGTTAAGGCCTATGTCCACGATGCTAGAACTTGGACCAACGCGGGCCTTTAGAGCTACGTGGACGTCGCGATTAATAACGATCGTTAATATCATCCACGTCGGCGATACTCCTTTTTTTTTCTTTCCGACGGCGCTCATTGTGCGATGCGTCGCCGGAGATAAACGCACAGATACCGTCTATCAGATCCGCGCGCGGATTTCGTTCGCCGTGCCCCGTCACGGCACGCGCGCACGCCGGATCGTATGCAGATCGTACGTGATACCCGATAATATTAATTGGCACGCGAGCAGCGCACAAGGGGCCATTGTTCGCCCCGGGTGGCGCGCGATGAGTTAATTACCTCGAGCGACCGGCGCGCTCATTCGCGCGTTCTCTCTCCGTGCGAGGCGCGATTCCAACGCGAGAGAAGCCCCCGTACGAGAAGACGAGAGCGTCGGGAAAGACGCGAAAAGCCCGACGTTGGCGGCCGCGTCAGACATCTGCGCGGCCAATTTCGAGGATCCTTCCGCCTCCCCCGTCCCCGTCACGATGGTACTCCGCGCTCCACGCTCGATTCTTACGCGCGGGACCGGTGTAATCATTTCATGTGCACAACCGGACAGCTATTGATTTATGACTCGCCCGAAGGCGAAGCCTCAACTTCCCACTTGTGATTTATGCTTTTCTCTGTCTTCTCTCGCGTGTGGAAACCACCTTCGCGTACGCGGCGTATCGCATACCGCGCGCCGCGCCGCGCCGCACCGCGATACCTCGATTTATTAGTATCGTCGCACCGGGCGATGAGTTTTAAGTGTCGTGCAAGGGGCCCTCCAAGGGGAAGCGCTTCCAGTCGTGGGGTGGCTGGACGGAAAAATCGCCGGAACGAGTTATGCGAATGGCGGAAGGCGAGGAGACCGCGCACCGTAGTACCGAACGAACGTCCAACGTTGATCAAGATGGATTTATGCTAATTCCAGGCGTTCGAATTAACGCGCGAATGAGCGCGCACAATATACAAATTAACGGAAATAAATGGCGGCGCGAAAAGGAAAAGAGACGGACGCGTTACACGCAATTTTCCGGGATGTTGATAGACTAGCGTCGCTTATTGTGCTGCGTTAAATGAGAAAGTCTTCCGAGGGATGCGTTCAGTCCTTTTAGTGAAATAGCTTTCGACCGTCGGACTCGATCGTACCTGCCCGAATTTATGAGCGCTCCAAAGACCAAGACCGAAAAGCCGCCTCGAACACGTAAGTTTCTGGAACAGTCCGAGAATTTCTGGAAAAGTCCACAGAAAACCAGTCTGATTTTCTCCAAGCGAACGTTTAGCCACGGTTGTCCGCGAAGGAAACGACAAGGTTGTTTCCTGCATTTTTCTTTTCGTGCAGTTCGAGACACGGAGAATTATTTTTGACAGGGTGACGAAGTTGAGATAATAGACGCGCAATCGAATTTGACGAATCCATTCTGGCGTTCGCTGCTCGTAAATTGGATCAACGTCCACGGAACGCAAGTAGACAACTCGTCACGTGTGTGCGCGCGCGCGCCGTCTTCTTTCTCACCGTCCGCGTTAAAGATTAACGTCTCTGTCAAATATTCTCCCACGCGAATATCCGAACTGACGAGTTCCCATTTTCGCGCCCGTTGCTCGTTTTGGAGCGCGCTTTCTGCAATCAGCGAACGAGCGAGAAAGAATAATAGGTCCCATTTTTTATTCGTCAACGAGCCGGGGCGGTGGATGTAGATGAGCTGACAAAGTGAGAAATGTGGGGGCAGAGCCGGGGCCAGGCGCGCGGGCCCCGGGACCGTCGAACTACCGGACACTCGACGAGCTACCGGACATCCTGCGGTCTCGCAATTTCGACGTTACGTATAGAACGATGCTGTCTGATCAATCAGGAGATTAGTCCAATAAGCTAAGGGATACTCCCTTTAGATGCAAGCTGACGCTGTTTTAATTGAATAGTGCCTTTTCCTTCGTTTGCGCTTCAAGAATCCTGTCGGAAAAGTGACGAAAGAACGGGGGAATTTCGATGCATCTGGAGCGCGTCTACAAATCCGCCGCTTACTCTAAGTGCATTGACCAGACTTTGGTTAAACATTGACCCAATATTTGATGGTATCGGGCCAATGTTTAGCCAATGCACTGTGCCACTACCCAAACAACACGATGTCTAAAAGACATTTTTAAGGCGTCTTTCGCTCGTCTTTTAGATATGTATGTCTAATGCGACGTCTACAGTGAGATTTGTTCACGCAGAAATCCAGGATGTGCGTAGGAAGTATTTATAAGGGTGTTCTGCTAATATTCTAATGATCTATATATTTTGTTGCGGATAATGGACTGTTTTACACTATGTGTTACTTGCTCGAGATCTAACTGAGAAGTGAAGGCGGACCGCGATATAAACCGCGAAACTATCTGCTGACCGAATCGTAACCGATACAACAACCAATGTTATTCGCTTACCAAAGTCAAGCGAAAGCACAGTTGTACATATATTCGAACCAATTGACTTGAGCAAAACTAAACCGGTGTTAAATAAGACTTCGCAAGGTTTTTAAGACGTAAGATTTAAGAGCGCGACCCATCGCGATCGTATGTGAAGAGAATAATCGACAGCGATTGGTCGTTTTCTTAAATCTCACATCGCCGCATAAAGGCTGGTCTACAATACATGGAGTAAGCTGGAGTAAGGAGTAGGAGTAAGGAAATAAATCCATTTTATTTCTTACTCCTACTTCAGCTCTTAGGCTTACTCTCGGTGAATCAAAATGCCATCAATCAGTGTTACAAATATTTTAAAAGTTATGCCCGTATTTCCGCTTCCTTACACCAAAAGATACAAGTTAGGGCTCACCCTTACTCCTTACTCCACGCTTACTCCACGTATTGTAGACCAGCGCTAACGCTTATTCTTCAATGGACGCAAAACGCAAGACGCTAAGTCGTAACGCGAGAAATCGGCCAGTGACAGTCGATCGTTCTTCTCATATTTGACTGCGATTGGTTGCGATTTAGCGTCTTGCGTTCATTCTAAAATAAGAGCCTGAGCAGAACGGCTGTCTTATACCCTTAAGACAGCTTTAAGACAATGTTTTATATTTTAAGCCTTTGTCTTGAGGTAACGCACAATAACTGTCTTGCGTCTTAAGAGTACAAGACAGCCATTCTGCTCAGGCCCTAAGCTTAAAAGATTGTGACGACTTAAAGACGTCTTAAAGATGTCTTTTGGACACGCGTGCTGTATGGGTAGAGTGCGCGTCGAGTGGTTCAAATGCGAAAGGACCTACCTTCATGATTACGCCGCCGCGATTAATCCAGTCGCGATTACGCGCTTCTTCTCTTCTTCATCTCGAACGCCGGAGATCGTGATACTTGCGCCCCTTGCGCCCCCGAGTGTCGCTCGCGTTATCCCGCCGTCCACCCTCGCCCTCTTCTTCGCGTATGCCGGGAGGTCCGGACGTACCAGGTTCTCCAGCGAACTATCCCACAGATTCGTGCCGCGGCTCGGCTCCCTCGGCCCGATCATCCGTTTACGCAGATGCGAGAACCACGGGGTCTCTGGCGAAGACTCGAACGACACCCTACCCCGATCGGCGCTAAGAGAAGACTGACATACTCGGTTCTGCCCCTACCACGCCGCTCGATGGACGCAGAGATGGGCGATGGGAGTGCGGTGCGTGGGGATTGTCCCGGCACTCGCACACTCGCACACTCACACGCACACCCAACACTCCTCGTGCGTCAACGACAGTCGGTCTGTCTACTATAAGAATGCGACTCTAGACGAAAGATGTTCCACCGCGCCCTACATCGGCATTGCAATTTCGACGAGTTGATACCTCGCTATCCGCTACGATAAAGATAAAAAAAACCGGCATCGAGATGCGGTATCTTGCGCAGGAAGAGAGAGAGAGAGAGAGAGAGGGGGGGGAGAACCATCGGGACCATGTCGAGTACATCGATGCGACAACGCGCGGACTCGTATGCGTCCGGACGCAAGGGGGGTTGCGAGACAGATAGGTGGTGATAATAGGTGGCGGAGCGCGGACGGTGAGGACCGGGGAGCCCGGCCGGGACGTTGGGGTGAGCGCCGGTCGGGTAAGCTCCGCCCACGGTGCCCGCCCATGGTTCCCTCGCTAGAGCGCGGTGTAACGTTCGCACAAAACGCAACGCGTGTGGGTAGACGGGGGGTGCACGCCGCAGACGGTAGACGGTGGGTCGCGTCGCGAGCCGCGGTACCTTATTGCTGGCAGCCCAAACTGCCGAATGGAATTTCAGCGGTGATTCGCAAACCCCGGCCCAAGTCTTCGCGCAAACTTCGTTTGCGAGTCGCAGCGAGGCACATCCGATATCGCGCCCCGGCGTAGGGGTGTGCGCGCCCCCGCGCGTTCGCCGAGGGCCAGACCGCGAGATGTCCTTCGCGAAATATCTTTCCTGCGCGACGCGTCGCGCTGTGCTCGAGAAACCCCGCGACGTCTCGTTTTCTCATAAAATTATTCAACATTCCCACCGACTAAATAGAGACTTGTACACTGAAAAAGAAAATTTTGCTAACCGTAGCTAATCGTGGTTTGCTAAAAATATTGTGCTGCTGTAGCTACACGTAATGCTGTTGAAAAATGCTGTTGAATTTTTAAAAAAATGAAGTTGCTTGTGAAGTAAACGTTAGCGTCACTGGCTGCCACAAACAGAAATAAATCACTCTATTGTATTTACTATGGATTTTAATTTTGAGCATTGAACTAAATATCCATATTGTTAAGATATCTATCGGATGTTTCAACGATTTTATTTCAATTACACTGACCTTGTTGATACATCATTTTTTTCCGTGTATAAATTTCTAAAGCTCAGCAAACGGTTTGCTGTCGCACCCAATACAGTAGGCACAGTAGCAAAATATTTAGTTGTCACAACCGAACACTAGCTGTTTTACTGAAATTTAGTTACTACATACAGTTTTCAGCTACATTTTCTTTTCCGTGTCGGTATTTGAGTTGGATCTTTGTAGCTTAATAACACTTTTAAAAATATGAAAACACCCTTAAAAGTATTAGGCTACGAAGATTCGGCTCGATCGAAGATACCGTATTGTTTAATGTGAGAATCACTTGTTAGAATTTCCATCAATTTGTCACACTCTCTCCCTCGACAGAACGTTTAATATAATTTTATGTTAATCATGTATCAAGGATACACAAAATGGATTCGCCTCTCTCGAGCCCGGGATAAATATGAGTTTTCGAGGAAGTTCCAACACCTGTTTCTGTATTTCCACCGCGCCGAGGCCCGAATCGTAAATCATCCCCGAATAGACCGGCGGCTTTTATCATCGCCTATACTACTTCTATCTCTTTACACGCATTTTGCGTCACCGTGCACACAAGCGCAACGCCTTGTACATATATTCACGGTCCCGCTCGGGCTGGCCGCGCGGACGCGCGTATCCGCGTCCACGCCCAAAATGAATATGAATTTCTCGCGTCGTGGAAAACTGTCAAACAGGTTTTCGGTTCTGTCGCCCGTGTGTTTTATTACCGGTAGGCGAGCGGTGATCCGTGAAACGTCTCGCTCCTTAAACGCTCGACTGCTCTCCGCGAAGACGAACGGTCGAAGATGAAGCGTCGCGCTGTATCGGACCGACCCGTACTAATCGTTACGTAATTCGACCGAGACGTCGCCGTAAAGTATCGCGATCGCTCGCGCGGTACATCCCGAGGGGACGCGCGCGAGCGACGCATCTGCGAGAGTCCGCGGCGCCTTTATTTATTAACTCGAAGCAAGCGCGTAAAACCGTGTAAATTTACCTACGCGCGCCCCAGTCTCTCGTGTCGCATCGCGCTGCTCCGAGAACGGGCCATTAGTAACGCTTACCCGGCATAAAGCGAGAAAAATGGCAGTCGAATTATTCCGGTGGCGAGGCCAGCGGTGAACAAAGGTCCCTCTTCGCGAGGCGCATCGGAGGATCCTCTCTCTCTCGTGGCGCAAACCGCGGGGTTCCAACACCCCGTCCCCGTTCGGTGCCGAACAAATCGAAGGCGACAACGCGCGACGGTCCCGCATCCAGCATCCACGAGCCCATTAATCGACGCGATCGAGAGCCCGGGGCCCGTCGACGGT